GCTCCCTTTTTTCTCATTAATCAGATCATTATTATCAGAATCCACATTTTAAATACTTGGCTTTTTTCCTGTTTAAATTAATTGTACCCTTTTTTTTTCCCGCCCCCCGGGGGATATGGAGTTTTTATTATCCTATCACTTCTGACCCTAAATCTGTCCCTATTTCTCTAATTCTATTCCTATTTTTTCACTAATATGCTTGTGCCTCTCTGCACGAAGGTGTGCCTCTTTTGCACTTCTAAACCCTGTGGACCTCTCATCCTGTATATTCTTTTTTTAGAGAGAGACCAACATCCCTCAAGGTTCAAAAACGTCGAAAAACCTGACTATTGTTCTATCGCGTCCGATAGAACGCCCATCACGGCGGTCTTGTCCACACTGCAATCTGTCGAGCCAAAATCTCTCTCTCTTCTATTTAAAACAATGTGCAGATTTTCAAAACTGTGATCCGCTTACCTTAGAAGCGACCTTTTTGAAGAGCAGAGAGATTTTTCCAAACCCACAAATCCAGTCTCTATAACTGAGCTCATCTTGCGTCTTCTTTCTGTATCAAATCACGTCTCGGGTCACCAAATGAAGCCAATAATTCCCTTTGGCTGGCGTGTCCACAATTTGGTACAGAAATCAGACTAAAGATTCTCCAAGTTTAACATCTGCATTTAATTATCTTTACAATCAGATACAGAATATTCAACAAAAGAGCTCCTATTCTATGCCTGCTCTATCCCTGTGCGTTGCCCCTGTCCTGTCTGACCTCAAAACCCTCCGAGGGCACATATACGGGAGACTTCTGATGACGTCATCCATACGCGTCCAAGGGTGGGGCTTTCCGGGTGTGCTGACGTCCCTTGTCCACTGGGAGGCGTTAGAATGCTGTTGGTGAATTCCCTCTCCGCCTGATGGTGAGGGACTTTTGCTCTCGCCCAAAGTGAGAGAGAGAGAGCCCTGCTTATACTTGGAGTCAATAATTGTCTAGTTTGTATACTATCTTGTGTCCTTGGGGTTTTTCCCCGTGCACATTCTTCAGAGGGCCTATTTTCAAAATCATTAGTATACAACATTTTAATTATACAACAGTATGTAGGGTGTGAATTTTGGGGTTGTGTCTCCAGACTCCTCGAACCACCTGTAGGTGTCAAAGGTCACACTGTGTCGATTTAACCACGTGGACACACTTTCAACTGCCTCTAGGTCTCTACCTGAGGCCTCCACCCATCACTGCCTCCAGAAACCTCCACTTTCATGGCCCCCCGGTCTCACTCTCACTTACTTCTGTAGTGGGGGGAGGGGCGTAGAGGTGGCATTGTTGCCCTTTTGCTCTTAGCTCTGTGACCTGTGGCTGGGTGGGGCTTTGCTGTCCAGTGTCCACTCCAGCAGTCCAGTGACCCTGTACAGTGTGTGCCCTTGGTTCTGGAAAACAACCTTATAGTCAAATTAAAAACAACAGATATCAGTATGTGAATGAGATTGTTTTTCTCTCTAAAGTCTAAACAATTTTGGAGTGCTCTTGGCTTTCCCACATGTGCTATGTAAATAAAGATTACTTACTATCTTACTAATGATGACATTTTTAAGACCAGAAACTAAAGAAGTTATAAAAACAACAATTATACTCAAAACAAACAACCTTTTAAACTTTAAAAAATTTGTATTCTGTACTTTTGTACTGTGTGTTTAATTATCTATGCGTTCTTGGGTTTCACTTTATGGACTTTCCCTTTTTCACTTGAACATTTATCTCAGCATATATTCTACTAATTTAAAATAATTGCAGAATTTTCAAATTAAGTCAATATGAATTGGAGCACATTTCAGAGCTCTCTGTGCTGTGGCATCAGCAGCAGGAGGAAGGTCAGGTGCATAGTCAAAACAAAAAACCGCTTGCAATGTGAATTGGGTAGAACTCAATATAATACTTTTACAGCTAATCCTAATTCCCTCTTTCTTTTTAGACGAAGTCTATGATCAATAATCACTTTTAACACAGATTCTAATTTAAATGTTTGAAAAATGGCTTTTGTAACTTAAATAAAAAATACATGAAGAAAATTCTCACAAACAGCTATGAAATATATCAGATACAATAATGGACTCACAATGGAAATAAGCAGCAGATTTAAAAAGAAAAGCAAAGCTTTTTTGTACTAATCTTTGGATTTCAAAAAACACAATATTCAAAACTTCTTTTTACTGAATGGTGTTTAAAAACGTTTAACTGTGTCATAACACAATGTTCAATTGCAAATTTCGCAAATTTAACGGAATAACAACTATGAAAAGCCAAAATCCTAAAAGCAGGTTTGTTTTGATTCAGAGCCAGAGCAGCGAAGGAGGGGGCCGTTTCCCTGACAACGGCAGCAAGATAGAGCTGTGCACACACACACAGGCAGAAAGTAGTGTTTTTGCAAAAATGCAAAAACAGAAAGAAGAATAACTTTCAAGATTACTTTTTTAAGCGAATATAACTGATGTTGTTCTTTATACTTTTGTCATCCAAGTCTAGAAATGGCCAATTTCCACACTAGTAACAAAAGGCACTCTTAGTGTTTAATTTCCCTTACGCTTCTATTTTATCGAGGTAGCAAACTAGTTTAAACTCAAAATCTCTTTCTAAAAAAACAGCAACTGTTGGATACAACCCTCTCATAGCTCAACTGTAGATAAAACTCGGCAAAAAATGTAAATATCTCACGAAAGCTCTCATAGCTCAACTTTAGATAAAACTCGGCATTCTTTGGTGAACTCTGTTCACGCCGAAAACAAAAACTAATTTTTTCTGTATGTAATTTAAACCGTGATCACTGAAATATTGTTGCTTCTTTACTTTTGTCATTTATCAAGCCTGGAATTGGTTAATTACAAAACTTTTTTTGACAAAAGGCCTCCTTAACACGTTTCCCTTTTTAAAAAATTGCTTTTAATTTTACACCATGGTTTCACTTAGGCCTTTACACTTATGGATCCTACACACTTTATGGCCTTTTCACTTATGCATCCTATACACTTTATGGCCTTTTCACTTATGGATCCTATACACTTTATGGCCTTTTCACTTATGGATCCTTCACTCACTTTATGGCCTTTTCACTTATGCATCCTATACACTTTATGGCCTTTTCACTTATGGATCCTATACACTTTATAGCCTTTTCACTTATGGATCCTTCACTCACTTTATGGCCTTTTCACTTATGGATCCTTCACTCACTTTATGGCCTTTTCACTTATGGATCCTATACACTTTATGGCCAACACTTTATGGATACTCACTTATTTGAACACAATTTAGAGAGTTCGACAGACCTCAAAAACAGACCAAAATTTAGCTAGTATCCAATTATGCAGACTTTACATATAAAAAGGTGTCTGCTTACCTTATTCTTGTCAAACCGGTTCCAACGACTGTCCGAGAGGTCTGCCAACTCTTTTCCGCGTCGGAATATTCAATTTAAACGCAAAAGTGACAGAAGCGACAAGAAGCATCCAGGAACAGCTCTTCCAGCCTGCTGGAATCTCCGCTCCCAGACACAGCATGCCGGTCTCTCACGCCGAGGAAAAGAAACAAAGCAAACTCCCTCAGAACAATCCAGAGAATAGCGCACACCGAGCCGCGCATTCTCCACCAAATTTGTCAGGGATGAAGCAGACAGAGACGGATCGTGGTGCGCCAAACTCTGGAAGTTTATTTAAGTTTCTCTAAAGTTCCAGTGGTTTACTTTGTTTCCTTCTCTCAGACAGAATAAAGGCAGTACACAGTTTATACAGTCATTGTCACGTCACACATCGAAAGACATACGTGTCACACAGAGACAGTCAAATCATAGTCATAACATGGAGTCCTTGTACAGTCCTTGTACAGTCCTGCACGTAGGCCATATTGCTATCTAATACTAACAACATGTAAACATATACCCAAAATTACCACATGTTTCAATTCGGTAATCATTAACTACACAATGTAAACAGAATAGTAAAGAATTCATAATAGTCACACACAGACACAACAGCAACCAGTTGTAAAATTCAGCAAAACAAAACCCAGCCTGCAGTACAGTTCATTGATAACCCACTCTGGGTTTGACCAGTTGACAAGAGGGAGGTGGTGCACAAGAGTTTGTGAGATGTGGATGAGTGGGTGGGCAAAAGTTCTGTGCAAAATGGGGAGAGAGTTTGTGGGCTGCAAGGAGCCCCCACCATCCAGCAGGGGAGATGTGATAATGCGACTCAAAAATCCAGTGGGGTCTCCAGGCTCTAAGCCTTGTCCTTCAGCTCGCCTGGCTAATTCCTTGTATTCCTCCTCACAAGCAAGCTGATTCAATTGACACAAATAGAAGCCTCTTGCACAGCTTCCCCAACGCACTTCCTGAAACTGCTTTCCTCTAACCAATAAAACCATGCATTGGCTAGAAGGGATCTGATTGGCCAATAGGTGGGGCAAGTAGTGGGGCATGTAAAGGTTCAAAACACAGTAATGGCACCTGGGTTTCATGTAGTTCTTGGCGTTTGTGAAAAAGAGAGGACCACACTCACTCCACCAATCCAATTTTTGCTTTATCCGAGATAAAGACAGCATGTCGTGGTCTGGTCGGATAAGTTCACAATATTAGTAGTAGTATTAAAAGAGGGTTCCCAGATTTAAGTAAGATACCACTGTTACATCAAGATTGTAAAGTTAATCATTCATTACACAGAGGAAAGAGCCGGACACTCATAAGAAAACATCACATTCAATTTGCGACATCATAATTGGGATGTGGGAAAAAGTGGAGAAAAGTATGAAAAACAATTATCAAGTTCTCTGGCTCTGAAAACAGTTTGAAATATTACGCAAAAACCTTCAAACAGACTGCAAAATGAAGAGCTCTCAGGCTAGAAAAGACTTTTGACATCTCCACACTTAAAGCACATTTTACCCAAAGTGTAAAGTCTACAGTTCTACATGTGGATGAAAATGGTACAGGTGTAACAGCTCGGGTACTTTTTGCAGGACTCCTCTGATGATGGCATGCACGCGTAGGAGCCTCAGTGTGATTGAGCAGCTCTTGGCTCACGGTGCAGATCCACAGCTGAAGAATAAGGATGGCTGGAGCCCCTTCCATATGGCCTGCAGAGAGGGAAGTGTGGAGGTGGTACTGCTGCTGCTGAGCCACTCTGCACAGCTGTGGAGGACGGAGAGCAGGACGCAGCGCACACCCCTGCACACGGCTGGTAATGGGGCTGAACACACATCTCTGTGTCTGTGTTTGATGAGCAAACACAGACCTTCATTCAGAGGGTTGAAATCAAAAAGGTTTATTCCCTAATACAAGAGTTCTAATACAAAACACTCTGAGTTGAATTTTATATAGTGTATCTATTTTCCTATTTCTAATTAGGACTTAAAGTGATTGTCTGGAGTTTGTCAGAAAAAAGAGAGAGAGGTACATAATTTGAAAAAAAACGACCCAAGCTCCCTCCCCCTTCCTTTCTGATTGGTCTACGTCTACTTTTCTGTGCAAGGAGAGATTATTAATTTAAATATTTGAATATATTCAAATATTTAATCATAATTTGTTATACAGTTCCTCACAGCAGCAGTAGAACGCTCCATTGATTTGAAAACATTAAATAAAAATATCACGTTTTGTTGAAAATAACAAAACGTGATAACCGACCTCTCAAATCAATAATGAGTGCTGCCCATGACAACGTAATCTGTGTTTGTACGTCAGGTGTATAAAATACTAAGATTACGCCCGTCACAACAGGCTTTCAGCGCCTCTCACAAACCACTGCTGCTTCTCTCTCATGTAGTTCCAGAGCCTGGTGGGGGCTTGATTCGGAGGCTCCGTGAAAACAAACAAGTGGGCATGCGCGCAGCTACGATCACGAGCGCGCGATGATTGACAGCCCTTGGCATCACTTGATTGGTTAAAGTGGACGGCATCATGGATTTTGAGCTATAGCTAAGAGAAGGGAAGGCGGGACTTACCCGTAACATTACAATTCATAAGATGACTTATTTTATATCAATATTTTAAGGCCAGGAGGTCAATACAATACAATACAATTCTTAAAATGTGTAATCCATTTAAAGTTCCAGACTATCACTTTAAGGAGGAGCTCTCTCATGCCTGCTAGTCTACCTTAGTGTACGAGAATCACACAAAAGACAAGACTTGTTAAAATACATGATGAGGAACCAGTTTCTGCCCCTTTCTGGCCTGAGGAGTTCCAGAAGGCCTCCAGAATGTCCGAGACATCTCCCGGCCAGACACAATCCATCCCAAGCTTTCAAACATAAGGGGTTAAATTAACTGATTCATTATAAAGCAAGCAATGGATGGGAAAGGAGTAAATTCAAGGAGTGTAAACAGGGATATATTCCTTAGCTGGTAGAGAACACCTGGTTAAACATGAGTATAGTTCAAACAGGAGTATAATTAAAAGATTTAATATAAAGCATTCCAATAAACTTATTATATGATGAATACATGATTTTAATAAAGCTATATGGTGTTTCTTAGATACTAGTCACTCCGGAACATGCTGAATAATTATAGCACATTGTAATTTCCCACTTCAAGCACTAGTTGGTAGTGCTAGCTCACTTTGGCCATCTCTTATTCCATTTAAGAAAAAATCTTTTGCACCCTGTCTGCGAGCTTTCATGACTCGGAATAGTAAATTATACTTCTGCTTTCCAGCGATGCATGGCTGTGAGGAGGTGGTCCGGGTTCTGCTGGAGAGGTAAGGGGAAATGACCTGGGACCATAACTTTTGTGTCCCTTTTTATCACAGACATATTCATTTAGATTAATGCTAATATCTAAGTGAATTACAAAGCCATTTTTATATTTCAGTCTCTTAATCATTACACATGTTTTTACTTGCAAGAAGAAATTAGTTTGCACTTAAACTCATGGTATATTTGGAATTCTATCAAAAAATGGATTATTCACCGCTTTATTTTCTTCTTTGTCCTGATCACACTAAGTGAATCATGCATGTTTGAGTTGATTTTACTTACCGGTTCTCTGATCTCTTTGCGGTCTGAGCAGAGCCTGCAGGGCCTTCGATGTGATGGAGTATTTACTGACATTGCAGACGGATACAGTTGATTTTAGATCAATATTAAGATGTACCAATTGAGATGTACTAAATATATAATCATAATCTTGTTTATTGCCCTGAATCTAGTCAATTCAGAGATGCAGCAGTACATGCCTTTGGTTAGACTACTATAATGACCTACTCACTGGGGTCTCCGAAGAAGCTGTAAAACCTGACTAGAATCAGTAAGTATGATCATATTAGTCCAGTCCTCAGGTCTATGCACTGGTTTTCTGTTGCTCAGAGAATAAAACAGCTCTGCTTGTGTACAAGTCTCTCCATGGCCTTGTACCAAAGTACATCTGTGACATATTGGTGCCATATGAACAAACTCAGACTCTGAGGAGCACAGGGACTGGTTGCCTGCTGGTGCCCAGAGTCAAAACTAAACATGGGGAGGCTGCATTTGAGATTCATGCAGCTAAAATCTAGAAAAGTCTTCCTGACAATGTTCAAATCCAGGTTAAAAACAGTTCCGTTTTTCTGTGTATTTAACTGAGGGATTTTATCTTAACTGCTTTTAATGTACTGTGATTGTTTATTGTATTCTATAGAAATACACTTACCTTGCCTTGCCTTTTCAGATGCGACTACGGCCCAGACCAGGCAGACAGCTGTGGGGTCACTCCGCTCATGGACGCTCTAAGGACTGGACACGTCTCTGTGGCCAGACTGCTGTTGGAGAAACAGCAGGTAACACCACTGAACATTCACCAGAAAAACAGCAGGTAAAACCACGGAACATTCACCAGAAAAACAGCAGTTAAAACTACAGACCATTTTTCTGCTTCTATTGCACAGTATCAAAATCTCGTATAAATAGTGGGCTAGATCAAACATTTTAAGATATTCAGAGACAAAATTCACAAGGGTTTATTTTTTCAGCCGTGTCAGACCAAATGCACTGTAGTATAACAACCACGGTGCGGGGGCTCACATGAAAGGTTTAACACAAGCAGGTAGATTACGAAAGTGCAGGGAGAGACATGTGTGGGTGCAGCAGGAAGACGTAATGTGACGCACAATATCAAGGCTAGCCCCCTTAGGCCAGATTAACCCCCCCTTTCATTTTATATAATAACCATAAAATACAAGTAATATTTTACTACTTTCTTTATTTATTACCAAATACATTTAGGAAAAGATATGATTTATGAAATAAACTATTCCATACTATAAAGCAAAGTACGGTAAGAAATATATTATGCAATACAATCTATATGCTGGTATACCATATTCTATTTACTTGATAAAACTATAACAACGTCCTAATACTCCTGTACTGTACTGTACAGTACCATACTACACCATACAGTCTCATCATCAAGGTACAGTGCCTTGCGAAAGTATTCGGTCCCCTTCAACCTTTCAACATTTCGCCACATTTCAGGCTTCAAACATAAAGATATATTAAAAAAATATTTTTTGTCATGAATCAACAACAAGTGGGACACAATCGTGAAGTGGAACGGAATTTATTGGATAATTTAAACTTTTTTAACAAATAAAAAACTGAAAAGTGGGGCGTGCAATATTATTCGGCCCCTTTACTTTCAGTGCAGCAAACTCACTCCAGAAGTTCAGTGAGGATCTTTGAATGAGCCAATGTTGTCCTAAATGACTGATGATGATAAATAGAATGCACCTGTGTGTAATCAAGTCTCCGTATAAATGCACCTGCTCTTTGATAGTCTCAGGGTTCTGTTTAAAGCGCAGAGAGAACCATGAAGACAAAGGAACACACCAGGCAGGTCCGAGATACTGTTGTGGAGAAGTTTAAAGCCGGATTTGGATACAAAAAGATTTCCCAAGCTTTAAACATCTCAAGGAGCACTGTGCAAGCAATTACATTGAAATGGAAGGAGTATCAGACCACTGCAAATCTACCAAGACCCGGCCGTCCCTCCAAACTTTCATCTCAAACAAGGAGCAGACTGATCAAAGATGCAGCCAAGAGGCCCATGATCACTCTGGATGAACTGCAGATAACTACAGCTGAGGTGGGAGAGTCTGTCCATAGGACAACAATCAGTCGTGCACTGCACAAATCTGGCCTTTATGGAAGAGTGGCAAGAAGAAAGCCATTTCTCAAAGATATCCAAAAAGTCTTGTTTAAAGTTTGCCACAAACCACCTGGGAGACACACCAAACATGTGGAAGAAGGTGCTCTGGTCAGATGAAACCAAAATCGAACCTTTTGGCCACAATGCAAAACGATAGGTTTGGCGTAAAAGCAACACAGCTCATCACCATGAACACACCATCCCCACCTAAGCTGTAGTTATCTGCAGTTCATCCAGAGTGATCATGGGCCTCTTGGCTGCATCTCTGATCAGTCTGCTCCTTGTTTGAGATGAAAGTTTGGAGGGACGGCCGGGTCTTGGTAGATTTGCAGTGGTCTGATACTCCTTCCATTTCAATATAATTGCTTGCACAGTGCTCCTTGAGATGTTTAACGCTTGGGAAATCTTTTTGTATCCAAATCCGGCTTTAAAATTCTCCACAACAGGATCTCGGACCTGCCTGGTGTGTTCCTTTGTCTTCATGGTTCTCTCTGCGCTTTAAACAGAACCCTGAGACTATCAAAGAGCAGGTGCATTTATACGGAGACTTGATTACACACAGGTGCATTCTATTTATCATCATCAGTCATTTAGGACAATATTGGATCATTCAAAGATCCTCACTGAACTTCTGGAGTGAGTTTGCTGCACTGAAAGTAAAGGGGCCGAATAATATTGCACGCCCCACTATTCAGTTTTTTATTTGTTAAAAAAGTTTAAATTATCCAATAAATTTCGTTCCACTTCACGATTGTGTCCCACTTGTTGTTGATTCATGACAAAAAATTAAAATGTTATATCTTTATGTTTGAAGCCTGAAATGGGGCGAAATGTTGAAAGGTTCAATACTTTCGCAAGGCACTGTATATGGCAGATTCTGATGTCTCCTGTTACTATTACACAAAGACAATACAATACAATTTATTCTTGTATAGCCCTAAATCACAACTGTAGTCATCTCAGAGGACTTAACAAAACCATTGAAATCACGAACACAGATTAGAGAATCAACAGTTAAGACACTAATGCCGCTTTTCCACAGTAACGGTACGGTACGGTACGGCACAGCGCGGTACTTTTGCATTTCCACCAGGGTTGGGGCCAGGTTGTGCGCACTTTTTTTGTACCACCTCGACTGTCGTTCCAGCCGCGCCGTACCTACACCATCATGTGACGTCAGCCGACTGCTTAACACAGATTGGTCAACGGGTGTCGTCACTGGACGCGACGTCCGACCCTTTGGTAAAAACAACTCAACTGCCATCTTTAAAACCTGCTGCTCTGCCACGGCTACAACACGTCCTCCTCACTCCAGAGAAATGGAATCGCACAGAAAGCCCCATAAGTCAGCATCCTGGTCGGTGGACGAGGTCCACACGTTACTCTCTTTTGGCCGAAGAAAGAATTCAAAGGCAGCTCGAACACACAACATGGAGGTTTTACGAGGTTTTCAGGGAGCTCGCTCTTGATTTGTGACTAGTCTGTGGTGGTCCTGGAAACAACTGGTTAGCTACGTACAGTGCCTTGCGAATGTATTCGGCCCCCTTGAACCTTTCAACATTTCGCCACATTTCAGTCTTCAAACATAAAGATATAAAATTTTAATTTTTTGTCATGAATCAACAACAAGTGGGACACAATTGTGAAGTGGAACGAAATTTATTGGATAATTTAAACTTTTTTAACAAATAAAAAACTGAAAAGTGGGGCGTGCAATATTATTCGGCCCCTTTACTTTCAGTGCAGCAAACTCAGTCCAGAAGTTCAGTGAGGATCTTTGAATGATCCAATGTTGTCCTAAATGACTGATGATGATAAATAGAATGCACCTGTGTGTAATCAAGTCTCCGTATAAATGCACCTGCACTTTTCAGTTTTTTATTTGTTAAAAAAGTTTAAATTATCCAACAAATTTCATTCCACTTCACGATTGTGTCCCACTTGTTCTTGATTCATGACAAAAAATTAAAATTTTATATCTTTATGTTTGAAGCCTGAAATATGGCGAAATGTTGAAAGGTTCAAGGGGGCCGAATACTTTCGCAAGGCACTGTATCCCTTTGGCCCAAAGCTCTCACTGAAATGTATTTACTCGTGTAAAAGTTTGCTTGTCTGTTGTACACAGTGAACTAGCATTTACCTACATTTAGCTATTGATAGCAAGCTAATAAGCTAACTTCCTTCTTGTGCTAGTGTGCTATATCTCGTATTAGCTGCTCTATTCACGTGTTGTCATTTTGTTTTGTGCTTGTACTTAAGTTGTCGTGTGTATATTTATTTGTTTGAGAATCCCTTTCCACAAGTATGGAGATTACCAATAATCAACGAGTGACCGGAGTACTTGACATTCTCCTCATCTGGACCTGGTCTCAAACGTACTTTGGACTTGTAAATTGTTGGTTTTGCACTTTACTTTTGTTTTTTAATAAATCTGTGATTGTAACAAGACTTTGTTTCATTCATTTGTCTGTACATGTGCAGAAAAGGGCTTCAAAAGTTACGATTTCCTACCATATACTTTTACTACATAGTATACATTATATTTCAGATTCAGATTCAGTTTATTTGCCATTTGCAGTAAAAACACCACATTGGAATACATTAGCAAAAAGTCTCCAGTGTGCACAGACAAATACAGACATAAAACATTAAAAGACAGAAATAAAACAAATAAAACAGTAAACAAATGTCACTGTGAAATTGATCGACTAAAACAGTTTCAAAACAAGTGCAAATCATTGAAGTGCTCTGTTCACACTGATAACAGCTTGTGGATAAAAACTGTTAGCGTAACGAGATGTCCTGCATCTCAGAGAGCGATATCTTCTGCCAGAGGGAACAAGCTGGAACTCGATCTATTTGTCAGTAAATCCATATAACCTTGGTAAATTTATGAACAAGGATGGAGACATTTGGCAAATACAAAAAAGGTTTTATTTTTGGTCAAAATAAATGTTTAGGCATATGACAAGCGACGCATCGGATAGCCCTCCTCTGCAACCACTGCTACACAGGCTGCTGTTGCTACAGGTATGTCCCATTCTGTCACAGGTCTCTCCGTGGTTCTCACAGATTGTGCAGAGCAAGTCAGCACCATTGACTTCACATGTTCTGTGTCCGAGTCATTCCTTTAAAACTGCCGAAAGCATTTTCAACAACCACTCGCGCTGTGCTGAATTTTCTATTACATACTTGCTGTTAGTCTATCACTCGGTGTCCTTAAAAGGTTTTAGGAGCCAGTTCTGCAGGGGGTAAGCAGAGTCCCCTCGGAGGTAATAACCAACAACCAGGTATCACCGATATTATAATAAATCCATGCACCGCACCAATGTTGAGGAGATACTATTTTTGATGGAAAAGCACCCAAACTCGGCCGTGCCGTTCCGTGCCGCACCGTACCGTTACTGTGGAAAAGCGGCAAAAAAGAATACAGAACACATGTTGATAAATGTCCATACATGTTGTAGAATGTTTAAGTTTCCTGGATCATCACCACAGTCCTTTTTGTTAGACTCTAACTATCCAACAGACCCTCCTGCATCGGCAAGGAAAAACTCAGTACATTAGGAAGAACAGATGAACAGCTCCGCAGATGTGAAAAGCAATCACACAAATTAGTGCTACAGGGTAAATTAACAAACAAACTACTTCTAAATGATTTAAAATAATGTTGAAGTTAAAAAAATAATAGTAATAACTCTTTACTTATTATTATTATTAGATAAAACAAGAAGGAGGTGAATCTGGCCTAAAGGGGGTTAAAATACCGCGGGGTATATTCTGGCCTAGGCTATTTTATACCTGGGGTATAAACTGGCCAGGGGGTATAAAATTAGCCTGACTGTCATCAGACCTTTGTAGATCGCTGCGCTTTTCACTTGGGTCTGGGTCTGAGCCATAGCGGATGAATTTCAGAAGGCTGGGCCTTGTAAAAAAAAACAAAAACAAAATCCTTGTATGTGATTAGATAAACCACTTTTTCCGTTATATTGAATGACGTGTTCCTTCAACCACTCACATCGAAGCACACGACTCCCATGGGTTGCCAAATGTCGGCAGGATTTTCCAGCCCAAAACCTGCGAGAATGTCCAAAATTGTTTTGGCTAACAACGTAATGTAATCAACTTGTGCTATCATGATTCTGTTTATTGTCTTTCTGTTTATTTATCTCCTACAAGTCTCTTGGAAAAAAGTATGCGGGAAACCACCCAACCTGGCAACCCTGCTGCATAGTGTGTAAACAGGAACACTTAAACCAAACTTTACACGAACTCTTAAAACACTCAACAACATAGAACCATCAACATCTCGTCTCATATTGCATTAAAAGTGACTTCCGTGTCTTAATTCGTTCGTATTTAAACTTTTTTTTTTATTCATGGACTTTATGTTCACCATCTTGTGTGAGACACGCTTGAGAAGGCGGTGCAAACCCGACGTAACACCGGCGATCCTGATTGGTCGATTATTTTCTGATCTGCGGAAGGAGTTTGGTATGCACTTGATCCCAGACCCTTGTGCTTGAAGCGAAACGCCTCTGGTGGAGCATGGTGGAACTACAAGGGTCTGGCTAGAGCCAGGCTAGTATAAAATGGCCTGTTACACCGGATATAATGGCAAAGTGGGCCCAGGCCCACTTTAACCAGGCTCTAGGCTGTGCATGTGACCGCAACCTAACTTTCAAACCACAAAGATGGAACTATGTTTTGAAATCCATCTAACAGGTTCCTTGCTCTCAAAACTTCTATCACTAGTTTTCAATGGGTGTATTTTTGGGCCTCTGTCACATCTTTATATTGTTTTTTTCAGACAGAAGGATGAAAAAGAGCGAACCACCCTCATTCAGTCAATCAGCTCTTAGATTAAAACCCTTAAATAGTGACTCACAGGGCTCTTATAAGTAGGCACAATATAATCAGATGAAAATGGCATGTTGTGGTCTGCTTTATTTACAAGTGAAGACTTTTACGGCTTTTAAGAGACTTTCGGTTGGACATATTCAACAAAAATCTTAAAAATAAAGTTAGTTAACCTACTATGTTTGGGGGAGCACAATTGTAATTATATAGATGGCTTTCTACACCATCACAGCTTTATCACATTTCCATTTGGAGGTGGAAAAACACTGGTTTTAATGAACAATGTGAACTCTGCACAGTGAATTCTTGTGGTCTGTCCTTTCCCCACAGGCCTGCCCTACTGCCATAGACCGACTGGGAGCTCAGCCTCTGCACATGGCCGCAGTGACAGGACAGAATCAGGCGCTGATATTTTTAGTCAAGGACCTGGGAGTGAACGTGGACCAGAGCGCCACCTGCCTGCAGCTCACCGCATTACACTACGCTGCCAAGGTGCTCTTCCGCACACACATCTACATGAAAATATCAGTTACCTTTCAAACTGTGCAGAGAGAAAGACTTCCCTGATTTAATTAAATCCATCCATTCCAGATGTCTCTCCATGTTCGGATGACCTTCTCCATGTTCATAGGCCTCTCATGTTCAGAGTTATCTGAATCTGTTCAGAGTCATTCAGATGGCTCTCTCCATGTCTAACTGTGTGCTGAAAAGCAGGATGTAATTCCCCATGTATGCCACCAGTTGAGCAAGTTCTCCCACTTAAAAATATGAAGGAGGCCTGTAATTTTCATCATAGGTATTCTTCAACTATGAGAGACAAAATGAGAAAAAAAATCCAGAAAATCTCTCTCAGACCTGTAACTCCTTTAGGAGGCTTCTCTGTTCTCTACTCGTTACCTGTATTAATGGCACCTGTTTGAACTCGTTATCTGTATGAAAGACACCTGTCCACAGCCTCAAACAGTCAGACTCCAAACTCCACTATGGCCAAGACCAAAGATCTGTCGAAAGCCACCAGAAAAAAAATTGTGGACCTGCACCAGGCTGGGAAGACTGCAATAGGTAAGCAGCTTGGTGTGAGGAAATCAACTGTGGGAGCAATTAGTAAGAAAATGGAAGACATAGAAGACTGATAATCTCCCTCAATCTGGGGTCCACGCAATATCTCACCCCGTGGGGTCAAAATGGTCAAGAACGGTGAGCAAAAATCAGAACCACATGGGGGGACCTAGTGAATGACATGCAGAGAGGGACCAAAGTAACAAAGGCTACTATCAGTAAAACACTACGCTACCATGGACTCAAATACTGCAGTGTCAGATGTGTCCCTGTGCTTAAGCTTGGCTAGAGAGCATTACATGATCCAGAAGATTATTGGAGAATGTCCTATGGTCAGATGAAACCAAAAATAGAACTTTTTGGTAAAAACTCAACTCGTTGTGTTTGGATGAGAGAGAATACTGAGTTGCATCCAAAAGAACACCATACCTACTGTGAAGCATAGGGGTGGAAATATCATGCTTTGGGGCTGTTTTTCTACAAAGGGACCAGGACGACTGATCTGTGTAAAGAAAAGAATGAATGGGGCAATGTATCGTGAGATTTTGAATGAAAACCTCCTTCCATCAGCATGGGCATTGAAGATGATGGCTGGATCTTTCTAGCCTGACTCTCGCCAGATCCATGTAGTTCGCTGCACTTCACACATGAGTCTGGTTGTTGGATTTCAGAAGGCAGGCCCTTGTAAAAAAATCCTTGTATGTGATTGGATAGACCACTTGTCCGTTATCTTGAATGAAGTCTGCTTTCAACCACTCACATCGAAGCACACGGCTCCCATAGGTTGCCAAATCCCAGCAAGATTTTCCAACCCAAAATCCGTGAGAATACCCACAAAAAAATAAACACTCAATGATTTTTTTGGCTAAAAACTTTAAATAAAATCAACTTGGGCTATCATGATTCTGTTTATTGTCTTTCTGTTTATTTAATACCTACAAGTCTCTTGGAAAAAAAATATGCGGGAACCACCAAACCTGGCAACCCTGCTGCATAGTGTGTAAACAGGAACACTGGACCAGTGCTTCAACCAAACTTTACAGGAACATTTGACTCTTAAAACACACATATATCAACATAGAACCATCTACATCTCGCCTCAAATTGCATTAAAAGTGACATCCGTGTCTTAATTCGATCGTATTTACTCTTTTAAAAAGATTCGCGGACTTTACGTCCGCCATCTTGGATTCCCTCTCGCTGCTGCGTGAGAGAAGCTTGAGAAGGCAGTGCAAACCCCACGTAACACTGGCAATCCTGATTGGTCGATAAAAAAATAATCTGGGGAAGGCGTTCGCTATGGCGTCGATACCAGACTCATGTGGTTCAACCAAACGCCTCTGGTGGAGCATGGCGGAACTACAAGGGTCTGGCAGAGCCAGGCTAGGATCTTTCAGCATGACAATGATCCCAAACACACCGCCCGGGCAACGCAGGAGTGGCTTTATAAGAAGCATTTCAAGGTCCTGCACTGGCCTAGCCAGGCTCCAGATCTCGACCCCATAGAAAATCTTTGGAGGGATTTGAAAGTCCACGTTGCCCAGCAACAGCCCCAAAACATCACTGCTCTAGAGCATCACTGCTCTAAAACATCACTGCTCTAGAGCAGTGATGTTTTCAGTGATGCAGGAGATCTGCATGAAGGAATGGGCCAAAATACCAGCAACAGTGTGTGAAAACCTTGGGAAGACTTACAGAAACATTTGAGCTCTGTCGTGGCAAAAAAAAGGGTTTATAACAAAGTATTGAGATTAACTTTTGTCATTTACCAAATACTTATTTTCCACCATGATTGGCAAATAAATTGTGAAATTGTGATTTTTCTGGATTTTTTTTCTCATTCTGTCTCTCATAGTTATACCTATGATGAAAATTACAAGCCTTCTTCATCTTTTTAAGTGGCACAATTGATGACTGATAATATACTTTTTTGCCCCATTGTATCTACATTTTTATACTGAAGACATAGTTTCACATAGTAAGTACCATCAGTATTCTCAGGATCATGTTACAGGGCCAACATGAACACATGTTTTGCTGCATTACTCTGAATAGTCACACATAATCCTGGTTCCCTCTTGTCTTCTGTTAGGAAGGCCACGTCTCCACTCTTCTCACGCTGAACGACTTAGGAGCCTGTCTCCACATACAAGATGTCAAAGGGAGAACTGGTGAGGTGTCTTCCATAAGCATCATCAATCTAAAACAAAAAGCAGAGATATCATTTCTCCAGCTCAGGTCTTGGAAAAGATGAGACAACGATCTGTATTTCCCTTTTAATAAAATTCCTTAAAAGTAAAATGTGACTAATACTCTCTATTGATTGGCCTTTGTTTATCCAAGAAAGGCCCAATGAGATTTCAGAATCTCTTTTAGAGGAGTCCTGATCCCCTACACAAACATAAATAGAACATGAAAACTCTGGTTGCTTTAGAAATATTAATGAATCAGATAACTGATGGCAAGATGTATAGTAGCACACACTATAATTAACGTTTTATTATTTATTTATTTTGATGTTTTTTTTAACATGAATTATCTTCGTCAGCTCTCCACATGGCTTCCATCGGTCAACACTCTGAAGCAGTTTCCACTCTCCTTAGTTTGGGCCTGAAAAACTCTCCAGATTCATCCGGAATCACTCCGCAGCAGATGGCAAAGAAACCGGCTGTGATGCAGGCTTTTCAAACCAAGGAGATACCATAAATATATCTTTGTATCAGAATCATTTTTATTGCCTTGTAAGTGACATAATAAACCAAAGAATAATTGAGTAGAAAATCAAGAATTATCACACGTGTCCTTGAGTGCTGGTATAATGTGTCCAACATTTCCAATAGTCCTCAAATCTGTCATGATTCAGTCTTAGTGCAAACGTCAGTCTCTCCATTTGAAAAATATCTTTAACAAGTGACCTCCATTCCGCCAACACTAGGGTTCTGTCTGTCATCCATTTCTTTGTGATAGCTTTTTTGCTTGCTGTCAGTCAAACATTCCACATATATTTTTTACTTGCTCCGTTAATACAGTCTGGTTGTATCCCCAAAAACATTGTTTCAGTAATTGGTTAGTTTTGGACAATTCCAGAATATATGATGATGGCCAGCCCGTTTGGCTCCACATAACCTCCAACATGAAGAATCAACACTTGAGCCTCTCTGGACTGGAGTTTAAAAAATTACCGTACCATGCATTTCCATGAAAACTCTCTCCATACAGGGGATGATGTGCTTTTCTATAACATATGCACGTTACACCGACTAGGTTTGTCCAAATGTCAAATCATCAGCTGAGACATGTCTCTTCTCCTTGATGCAGTGGTTAATCAGAATCAGAATCATTTTTATTGACACGTAAGTAACAGGAAGTCACAGACTTGGAAATTGCTTTGGCTCGTTGCAACAGTTAGAAAGAGAGGTAAGAGTAGAGAAGGCATAATAAAAAAATAAAAAATAAAAAGCACTTCTAAGGAATACATTTAAAATAGTTACATTTATAATAGAGTTACAATTACTATATACAATATACAGTGCACATGGTGAACACAATGTAAGGTGACAGCAGTACAGTGAAGTAAAGTGACGTATGATAGACAGTAAAGTGACGTTATAAAGGGCAATGAGACAGGGGGACAGGTTATGAAGTGTTCAAGAGTCCAACAGCAGAGGGGAAGAAGCTGTTCTTGTGGCGGGAGGTTCTAGTCCTGATGGACCGCACGTAGTCTCCTGCCTGAGGGGAGTGGTTGGAATAGTCCGTGTGCAGGGTGAGAGGGGTCGGCTGTGATACGACCAGCCCGGCCTCGAGCTCGGGCGACAAACAGGTCCTGCAGCGATGGAAGGCTGCGACCAATTACCTTCTCTGCAGCGCGCACGATGCGCTGTAGCCTCTGTTTGTCCCTGACAGTGGCTCCAGCGAACCACACGGTTCCACCACCAACATCTGTGCAGGCAACTTGGCTTTCCTGAGCTGCTGCAGGAAGCACATTCTCTGCTGGGCCTTCTTGATGAGGGAGCTGATGGTCGGCTCCCACTTGAGGTGCTGGGTGATGGTGGTGCCCAGGAAACGAAAGGACTCCACAGAGGTGATGGGGGAGGGCGGTGGCGGGGGGACTGTGCTCTTCCTGAAGTCCACAATCATCTCCACTGTCTTCTGGGCGGTCCACCTCTCTCCTGTAGGCGGACTCATCGTTGTTGGAGATGAATCCAATGAGGGTGGTGTCGTCCGCAAACTTGATCAGCTTCACGGAGTCGTGGCTCGAGGTGCCGTGGTTGGTGTACAGGGAAAAGAGCAGGGGAGAAAGAACACAGCCATGGCTCCTATATTTAAAATCCGAGAGTCCGAGAAATTTTTCCCCAGACGCACTCCCTGCTTCCTGTCCGTCAGGAAGCCAGTGATCCACCTGCAGGTGGAATTGGGCACGTTGAGCTGGGAGAGCTTGTCCTGGAGCAGGGATAGCAGGATCGTGTTGAAGGCAGAGCTGAAGTCCACGAACAGGACCCTGGCGTAGGTCCCCGGGGAGTCCAGATGCTGTAGGATGTGGTGGAGGGCCAGGTTAATGGCGTCGTCTACAGATCTGTTGGCTCTGTAGGCGAACTGCAGGGGGTCCAGGAGGGGGGAGGTGAGGGACTTGAGATGGGAGAGGACCAGGCGCTCAAATGACTTCATGACTACACACGTCAGTGCTACAGGTCCGTAGTCATTGAGTCCTGTGATCCTGGGCTTCTTTAGGACGGGGACAATGGTGGAGGATTTGAAGCAGGCCGGTGTTCTGTCGAGTTGGTCTGCCCGTCGAGATGATCTGGCTCAGCTGTTAATGATGTAATGCAAACCTGCACATGCGCGTCTCACGGCAGCCGAAGCAATCAAAGATGGCGGACATATAGTACGCGAATTGCTTTAAAAGTTAAATACAAACAAATTAAGAGACAAATGTCAATTTTAATGCAATTTGAGGCGAAACGTTGATGGTTCCGTGTTGTGATACGTGTGTTTTTAGAGTAAGAGCTTCGTGTAAAGTTTGTTTTAAGCAGTCCACTGCTCCTGTGAAACTACACTGCTGCTGTGTGACAGCAGTCCCTGAGTTGACTGCTGCATACGTCAGGCCCATGACGCGTCCTGTGACTGGTCTGTCGGGTTGATAATGGAAATAATAAATTCAATTTTATGCATGTATCATACTGTATTCAATATGATTAACAATAGTGTGTTCAAACTAAATATTTAATTAGATCAAGTTTTTTCCCCATTCTGGCAGGTTTCTGCGCATGCGCAAGTCAGATTTGGGCACACTAGCAGTGTAGTTTCACAGGAGCAGTGGACTGCTTAAAACAAACTTTACACAAAACTCTTACTCTAAAAACCCACATATCACAATGCAGAACCGTCAACATCTCGCATCAAATTGCATCAACAGTCACATTCATGTCTTAATTGGTTTGTATTTAACTTTAAAGCAATTCGCGGACTACATGTCTGCCATCTTGGTTGGCTTTGTCTTCTGAGGCTATTGTCAGGGTGGGGGCAGAACTGATGGGTGGATTGTTAATCACAAAAGCAAACTTTTTGAATTTTTTATTTGATCGTATAGAGGTCACAGACAGGTATTCTGAGTAAATGTATTCATAAATGTAAACATAAATGATCATGTTCCTGCCCAGTATGCTGCCGAGGTTCAGTCATGGATCTATAATGATAACTGTATAGGGTATTACTAGCTTATAGCTGTCCCACCCATGGGCACAGGGGGCGCCCGTGGTACTGCAGACTAAATTCACGCAGGCTACCCAGAAAAAAGTCCCATAGAACTCAATGTAAACTTAACTAATTGACTGCCAGCCCATTTTAGAACAGGTACTCCCATATTGCCAGCCGTTTCTGATGGTTTTTACTGATTTTTAAAGACCCACAGAATATTGTGTACTATGACTATCTGAAAAGAATTTTGTTTATAGCTGTTTTTGTTCCCCTGTAATCCTCCGTCGAGTAGAGGGAAGTTTTACTGAAATCACCAGAAAGTTGAGAAAAAAGAGGCACAACATGTGCACCTAACTGTTTTCAAACCATTCAGAGAGAAATGCTGCCACCTGCTGGCTCGATAAAATATGGTCTCAAGTCATCCCCATACATATTAGATACAATAGACATCTGGGAACGTGAAGATAGCAAAAAAGGCATTACTATTTGCTTTGACATATTTGTGCGTCAATGGGACACAATGAGTTAAACACCTCAACCTTAGCTGACAGAGAACCTACAGCTTTCATAGAGATCGGAATTGTGGGGATTTTAGTGTCCCTTTTCTTCCTGAACTTTTTTTCTTCTTAAATCCTTTGGTTTTATTTAAATCCACACTTTACTGCCACAAACTCTGCTGTTTTCTTCCCGCTCTGACTCCGCTCTGCTGCTGCTCTGATCAGCAGCGCTGATTGGTCAAAGTGCGGCCGAGCCCCTCTACGCACGTGCATGAGAGCCACACATGCGTATTTGGCGCAATGCATCATGGGAGCTCGTCCACTGCGCAGAACGGGGAGGACCAGACGATTCCCAAATATAGGCGAGTTCTGCTAATCTCCCGGCCCCCGTGAAGTCCCATGCGCTACTGAGCAGAAGCCATTCATTTGAATAGGTTGCCATCTTGGATCACCGGGGCTTGGGTTGAGTGCAAACCGTGTCTTTTTGTTGTTGTTTTTTTACATATCAGCCATCTTAAAACTATTTCTGTCTTTCACTGGAATCATTTTATTGCAACATCCAAGAGGGATTCTGGCTTCCAGAGGGCTCAGAAACCACAGCTTGTTGTGTTTTGGCAAATTATTAAGGCCAAAGACTAAATTCATCATGTATGTAAATCTTCTATGTGTCTGTTCCTGTGTAAATATTTTTTGTTTAGTCCCAAATTAAAACACACTTGGACAAAATTCTGTAGTTTTTTTTTTCTAAATTGTGTTGCATTGAAAAGGAAAACCCGTTATAACAAATTCTGAACAATTAGTGGGTTATGTATCAATTGAATTATAAATTAGGAAATGATTTGAGAACTACATTTGTAACAAAACAAGACTGTAAAATGACAAGTCGTGTATTCGAATGTACCTTTACGGAACAACTTACACCTCATAAGACTTCCTTTCAGCAGCAACACAGGTCTATTTTTATTTAGACTTTAATAAGCAAGAACAGGATAACTAAGAATGAAAGAACTATTTAAAAAAGAGCAGAACATTAGCACACAATTGAATGGTTGAGATAGATCTAGCATCCAGGCCCGTCCTAAGGGCTGTGCGACCTGTGCCGTCGCACAGGGCCTCGCACCACACAGGGGCCTCGCAATCTTCCTTCCTTTTATTTTATTTTATAAATACACTAGTTCAAGGGTCCCCAAAGGGCAGACTGCACTCCAAATTTGGAACCCTAAACCCCTTTCTCTGGACCTCTTTGATTTCGTTTGATCAAAAGAACATTTTTACAAGTAAAGTCAAATTTTCACCAAAAGCGATTTGTAAACAGGCAGGCGCGCGGGCAGCTATGTATGCAACGGGTCCTCCGAAAAAACTGTCAGATAACTTTAGCAGTGTCTGAGTGAGATACAAAGAAAGTAACGGGAATGATCGCAGTGTAGGAGAGATGGATACTCGCGGAGGAGGAGCAGTGAGACAAGTGTGAGCAGAGGAGCAGACCCCTTTGTGTGAGCAGAGGAGGAGGAGGAG